ATTAAAGGCTAAAATATTTAAAGAATCCCCATGAACCTGCAGCACATATTAAGCAAATGGATGGTTTTTCTCCGTACAGTATTGATTGATAAAAAAAATGGGAAATCAGATGACAAAGAATTTCTTTTTCATATGTTTGATGAAACCAAAATTTTGAAATGTAAATTTTGAAGCTGTTCGAAATTGAATGCATCAATTTATTATGTATATTGATTCAATATTAATTAATTATTATTCTCATCCTCACTTTTAAATCTATTAATATTAAATTAAGTAAATCCATTAAATTATTTTATTTTATCAATCTAACATCAATCATACTCTACATGTAATCCTTACTCCTGGTGCAACGAAAACTTATTATATGAAATGGTTTTATTAAGATTCTCAATTGCTAAGGCTTTTGGAAATCGTTCTATTCGTAAAAATATCTGAGATTTTTTAGTCGAGAAGAATTTGTAGAGCAGTGTTAGGGAGAGAGCATGTTTATTTCACATATTTTTTTTCAGAAGTTGAAGTATTACAATAAAAAAAAGTTTTTATATTTCAAATGAGTTTTTTATATCATCAGTTTTTTATAGTTATTAAAGCTTTCCATAGCTCTAAACTATAATATATATGCTAACTTCATGCAAATTTAGTATTCCTATCTTTGAAAACGGAAAAGGAACAGTGGTTTGAAAACAGTATATATATTTTATTAGCGTTTTATTAGTATTACAAACTTTCAATTACTAAGACTTCTGGAAATTGTTACATTTATAAAATTATTATAAGTTTTTAATCGGGAAACGATAGAATCTTTATTTTTTTCAATAGATAGAAGTATTATGATAAAGAAAGAAATTTTCTGTATTTCAATGAGTTTTTCACGCCACTGGTATTTCTACATCCATTAATCTTTCTATAGTTTTAATTGTAATGTATACACTATCTTTTATGGAGATTTAGGCCTATATTTTTGAAAACGGAAGAGAAGTAGTGGTTTGAAAACAATACTAATACGTTTACTATGTTTTTTACGTCAATTTCGGAAATTCTGTACGCAGTATTGAAAATTCAATGTTCGCGATATCCGGTGTAATATTACTATCCAATCAAATTTTTGAATTTATGGAGATAGTTTCTAAGTTTGTACCAGTTACACAACGAAATTTCAACACTGCCTGTATGTGATATGCAGATCACGAAAAAAATCACGATGTGTGACAGCGATACCGAAGAAGACGCGTTATTTATTAACGATCAGAAGAACTTTTTTTTGCGTTGATATTTTTGTTTTCATTTTTATTTTCATTTTTATTCTTATTTTTATAAATATCTTTTTTTATAAATATCTTATTAGCAGAATCAAAACACGGAGCATAATTCGTCAAGTATTTATTATAAGGCTCTTTATTGTAACGACTGATTAGTGTATTTATTTTTTGTAACTGTTATTATATTAAGTAAAATAACAAAGATAAAGAAAAGCAATACAACTATTGAAGATGGAAAACGGCACCTAGACAATTTGGAAAACAATTTAATGTGCAGCTTTTGATTATTGGAAATTTTACAGACGTTGAAATATACCACTTTATCTAAAGCATCACAGTCACTCTCTTTTCCTTTATATACATAAGGCTAATCTGACCTGCTTCGCCCTATGGATATGATGGAATTAAATTCCAGGAGGGCATCGCATGGTCCTGGAATTTATTGAAACTGTATCATCGTCAAGGACACCTGCATGAAACTATTCTTCCCTCGTAGCACCTGAACTGGTATTACCCAGATAAGTATGTTAACCAAAACGTTGCTGATTTCCAGGGTAAAGATGGTTCTGCAACTATGAGTTAGAAATTGTTTCAAGCTCAGGATATTGTATGGATGGCTATCGGAAATGAAAATCACGTAAAAGGACCAATCAAAAACGGCATAGTCATCACGGAAATTCAGAATGGAGTTGGAGACTCTGAAATTGTATTTGGACTCTTTCTTTTTCAAAGAGCCTTCTGGATATTTTCCAAGTTTGGTTACTTTGTCCCAAGCAGTCACCGTGATCTCTTGCACTAAGAGGAAAGTCATAAAATGGCTCAAATTTTGTTTGGTATGTTCCATATAAATTAATTATTTTCCTAAATGCTCTGTTTCTTTGATAAATTTTTATTTGATTAACCGAATTTATTATTTTGAATGGGTTAGGGGATCTGAGCACTTGCCCAAATGGTTCTCTACCCTAAATCAAAGCTTTTGTTGTGAGTAGGTGTGCCATCAACAAAACAAGGTTGAACCTTCCGAGTTGCAGAATTCCAAATAAGTTGCAGACACCAACTTTATATTAGGAGTAACATGAACCAAATATCACATGTTTGTCAATTATCAATGCCCATATGGCATTGACCAAATCTAGAAGAAAAAGCCTTTACGGAAACTCTCACTTGTCATAAGCCTCCCAACATAGGGGAGCCTCACCTGTGGAAAAATTCCACAGTTATGAGGTGTGTCAATATTAAGAGCACCAACCGCGTGTCTGTGATAGGAAATTTTTATTAAATCTGATACCTGTGATCAATATCAACAGATTTATTTTGGAAATCCCAGAAACCTGGATAAACACATTATTTCTGCATGGCCTTTAGTATTATTTATTGCTCAGATGATGCAATTGTTTGTTATATCAAGAATAATATAATAGATATCTAGTATATGGATGGTGACATTCATTTTCAAGGAAAGGAGCAAATAGCAATGATTGTTATTTAACTAAGATATATATAAGATAAAAAATATTGCCAGAAAAATTGCATGGAATCAATCCAAGGTTACAACCATTTTACCATATTCTAACACCTTGTAATCTTACTGAAAGGGTAGGTTCGTGTGTGATTTATGTGCTAATTTAAAGTCCTGCCTTATATAATCTATTGATTCTCTTTTGTGGGTAGCAATTTTACAAATCAAATTATTTATCCTAAAGTAATAATCATTATATTAAACCAACAATCCTTATTAATAAATTAAAATTTTATTTGATTAATAATAATTATACGAAGAAACTATATCGAAATACTAATTGTCAAACGTGTGTATAACAAGTAAATTGCTTAATCTCTTTTCTTATCATCTTCTCTAATAAATAAAACCTTTCAATTAGTGAATACCTTTAATTATAAGATTAACAATTCTCAAATCTTTATAAATCTTTATAAAAATACAGTAATAGTAATATTTTTCTATTCTTTATATGCTTTTTGTAATAGGAAAGTCTTTGTGTTTAATTCGTCATTTTGAAAACCTTTAAGCCTGCACTTCTTAATGTAATGCTATTAAAACAGTTTTTGCAAGTTTAAAATTATTAACCAAAAGTAATAAACATATGAAAAATTACACTTAACCAGTTACCTGTCAAAGTCATAACTTTATATAGAGTTCTCTCAATATAAGAAAATATTCATTTAATTCATGGACCTCAAGATTTTAGATAGGAATCGGTGGAGTGGATTCCCCCCAGTCATATATCAATATTAATATATTGCGAGCGTGCTATATGAGTTTGCCTAATTAACGCTAGTTAACTTAGACGGGTAACCCACTAGACCTTCTAGTGACTCTAATTATGTTGGTTCAGACTCAGGTCCCAATATAACCGGAGATTCCACACTATATTGTTCCAGGCTCCAAGCCCAATATAATGACCAATTATATCCTTCAGACTCCCAGTCAGATATAACTCGCGGCAATATCTCATGAGTAGGCACGTGTTGAGAACTCAAATTCAAGGATCAAAGACAAATTTTATAGATATTAAGAATTAGTCTATTATTATTATTATTATTATTATTATTATTAAGGACTTTATTTTTAATAAATCATATAAATGGTTTTTGAATTTGCTAACAGTTATGCATAATATATATTATGCGAGGCCTTTTTCATATTGGAAATAAGTTTGCAACCACGAAAAAAATTTTGGGATTTTCCATATTTTGCGTAGATAATGAGAGTCCATCTCTTATCAACAGTAAGAACCTACGTGAATAATTCCATCGGAAGCTGACTGGAAGAAGTTTTTTATTTTATTTTATTATTTATTTTAGATTGTTTTGATTTTCGATGATAAATTTATATCAACACGAAAACAAATCTAGTGATTTAATTAATTTAATTTAATTAAATAAAAATCAAAAAATGCTAGATCAGCAAGCGTGACAAATATTCCTCATTCTTTTTCTCTTTTGTGTATTAATTTCTTTAATTAATTAATGCCATATACCGTCTTTTTTACCCTCATAAGGCCATAGATGCCAATTATTACTATAAGTCCATTTAATTACTTCCTTTTCTTTTTTTGTCACCATTTTACCTTTAAAGAATAAGGGAGGAGAAAATAGCAGATTTTGAGTGAAAGATACAAGTCATGAATATAATATAATTTCTGATTTTATTTACCTTTATAATATTTTATACCAAATATTCGACCATGTGCAACATTCTTTAGAATTCATTTATTAATTATATAATAAACAATAAATCTATTAATCATAATATTTATACTTTTAAAATGCTATTCTTTGATATTAACTGACATCCATCTAACCTTTAGCTTAACACTTGACACTTCATAATAACTATTTAAATTTCCTTTCTTTATCCATTTATATGGAATCTATAATTTACATAAATCAAAACATTAAATGATAAGTTTAAAGCGTGGAAAAAACTAATATTTCTTGATTTCACATACCACTTTCAAACCAATTCCATATTTTGGATATACGTTTATTAAATCGATAAGATTTTTATTATATTTTGCATCTTTATAAATGGGTAATTCTGATTTAGATTTTTCTATCAATTTTTTTGCTACGCTTGTCATCTTTTGATTTTATTTGAGTTTTTTTTTAATTTTAAAATTTTATATGGTTGCACAATATATTTTGGGATCGTCACATTGCTTATTATATAAAATAGATTTTATTTTTAAAAAATAATTTTTTTTAAAAATAAAAATAATAATGACAGAGAATAGACAACAAGTTTCAGACACTATAGGACAATTGATAATTAATTCTTTGTTTCCTGAAGGAAATGAAAGTCAAACATCACAAGGTTTTTGTTTTAAAAATTTCACATTATAAATTGAATTTTATATTAAATATTAATAAATAAATAAATATAATTTAGGGCATAGTAATACATTAAATGAAGCATTATTGGCTTATATAAAAATAACAGAAGATGGTACTGGAAATACCGTGACTTCACCTTCTGTCAATGATCCTTCAACAGGGAAAGGAATCAAAGGAGAAGTCAAGATTAGATATTTGTTAGCCTCAAGTATGTTAATTAGGATACTTGTTATTTAATACGATTATAATAATTGTTAATTGAATTGGTTCTTTTTAATGTTAATTATCATTTATTAGTCAAACGTAGTGGGAAACTTAGTGGGAAACTTTTTCTTCATAAATCAAAAATGAATAGCAATGATACTTTTTCCATTGGTAGAACTTGGACATTAGACAATCTTCGAGCTGTTGAAATAGTTGATGTAAATTGAATTCATATTATATATATATACATACGCACACATTTATATACATATATGTTATATATATATATATCGCACATATCATTTACATATTATTACATTTATATTGTAATTTATCAATTAGTCTCAGATTTTTATAATGAGTTTCAACAAATCATATCATTGGACTGCGGATAATACACACGATAGAAATCTTTTTTTGTCAACTCTTTTAAATGCAAGTAATAAAAAATTTATCATTAATAAATTATTTTCTATACTATAACAATAATTATATTATATTACGGTTATGGTTATCAAGACATTTTCTTTTAATTTAGAAATTTTTTTTTTTAGGCATATAAAAAACATTTTAAACGTCTACCAAAACTAGTCAATATCGATGATACTATCGTACCAGGTATATGGTATTTCAAATCTTTATTTTTTTAAATATAAATATATTTTTATAATTTCTTGCTAAAAAAATTTAGATTATAAACCATCATCTACACCAAGCACTCCATCTAAACCGCAAACTGCTCCAAGCACACCGTCCAAAACACCAATCACTCCAAACACACCATCAAATGAGTTTGATAATTACGTTGCGGCAGCTTCTTTAAAAGATAGGTTGGCACATTCAAACAAATCTAATTCAAGTTTAAAAAGTATTGGAGGCAAAAATAGTAGATCAATTACACCTTCGTTATCCATGGGTGGTGGTCAAAGTGATTCAAATAGTATAACAAATCAAACTGATGAAGATGATGGTAATTTAACTTTTTTTTTTTTTTCATATAAATATAAATATAAATACATTTTATATTTGTTTGTGCGAATTTGAAATTCCATGCAGTGAAATAAATCTGTGTGAATTTTAAATACATTCGCGTAAATTCAAAGTTTGCCAATCAGAATTTTGTGTCCCAAACCACATCTCAAAAATTTTAATTGCAAATTTCAAATTCACCCGATTTGATAACATATTTTATATATTATTATTATCAAAGAAATGAAACAAGAAGAAATTTCTTTAATAAATGTTGGAGAGTTACTTAATGACTTTGATTGGAAAGGAAGTGGAAATGCTGAAGCCTTGGAAGAAAGATTATTAAATGAATTGGCTGCATTGGAATCTGTATGTTTACATAATAAATAATAATTACAACTATTTTTGTTATTTTTTTTTTTTTTTATATAAATCATCATGATATTAATTTTTTATTTACATAATTTTTAGGCAAATATACATGCAATGATAGAATCAGATGATAGAATTTATGCAGTTATTGAACAAATTGATTATGCTATTTCAGAATTGGATAATATGGATCAATGGCTAACATTATATACAGATGAATTGAATGTAAAGAAAAAATCAGTATATCAATGCTAATACAATAACAAGATTCGTTACAATTAACATACAGATACATATGATATTTGTTTTATTATTATTAGAGTATGGGTGATGATATTCATCATATTGAAGGTCAAAATAGAGGCTTACAAGTACAAACAGCTAATCAAAAGGCTTTACTCTCTGAACTTGACAGACTTCTTGTAATTTTTATAGATTTACCTTGTTTTTTTTTTTAAAAAAAATCATTATCGTTCCTATTTCATTATAATTTAACACTTGGAAAAATGTTTATATTTTATAATGGTTATCTAGCAATCCATAACGATATCTGATAAAGTGATCAAAATATTAAAACATGAATCGATGGATACACCTCAAGGTGTACAAAATATCGAACAAGCCGCTACACACTTAAAACGTGTATTAGAAACTCCATTTGATGATGGTAAAAGATATTTCCACTAAAGATATTATATTTTTTTGATTTTCATTTTTAAACTTTTAATAAATCTTAACTCAAAAATCTTTTATGGTAATAGCAACTAAAGACATGGCAGCTGTAAAAGAATTAATGAAATCCTATGAATATCATTGTAATAATTTTTGTTCTCGTTTTTATGAATATATGAGAGTTATGTTTCAATATCAGGTAATATATACTTATGTGTGTGTGTGTATATGTCTTTGAATAAAATTTAAATAATTTTGATTTTAATTTTATTTGATCTTAGGCAGAGACTTTGCTAAATGATAAAAGTAGAGGACCACGACACAATAATCTCACTATCCAAAGTCATCAGGCATTAGAAGAACATTTATTAAAATATCGTGGAATTTCCTTATGGATGAAACAAATGGATCCTAGACGTCATACTGAAATTCAAACAGTTTGTTATATCCAATTTTTTAAATCTTTTTGATAATAATAATAGTAACAATAATAACAGTAATTAATTATCGAATATAGTTATATGTGCTTTCTAAAGAACCTATTTACAAAAAAGAAACCAAAGAATATTTAACAACAATGAAGCAATTATTATTCAAAAGAGAATTATCTGAAGAAGCAACTTATGGTAAATTATATATATTTATGTATATTTATATATAAATGTATGTAATATTGACAAAAATATTCCAAAAAAAAAGAAAGAAAGAAAACAATAACAATGGTTTTTTTAAATGAAATTACAATTAAATATAATAAATACAGTGTTTAGTGCAGCATTACTTCAAAATAATCGCACCAGTACGAATTTTGGAAATTGGTTGTCAATAGATAATTCAAGGGCACCGTGGGAGTTTAAAGATGGAGGTGGTGGAAAACTTCCACCTGAAGAAGTAAGAAAAAACATATATAGATAGATATATATATGTGGAAAAAAAAAATATAAACGGCTCTCCTAACGATATTTTTTTGATTGATTAATTAATTATAGTCATTTGATCATTCTTTACAAACAATAATTCCTTTGATTATTACCGAGAAAAATTTTATAGAAGATTTTTTTCATCTTGGAACTAAAAAACCACTTCCAAAAAATCCACTCGATGGTGACGCCGATATCGAAGATATTAAACTTTATAAAAGATTATTGTTAGTTGTTTGTTTAATTTATTATTTTAAAGTATAATAATTCCTTTTTTATTTAAATATTCTTTATGAATTTTTTTTTTATATCGTATATATTTATAGTGAACATATGGAAAGGTTATATAACTTTATGCCAGATGAATTAAATTCATTTATCGAATATGGTTGCAAATATGATAAAATGTAGGTGTAATTGGTTATTTGTTTATTTGTTTGTTAAATTATTATGTCTAATTATATCTTTTATATAAAATTAGTCAAGTAGTTGGTATGATTGTATCATTAGAGAAATTTATGTACGAAAGTGATAAAATCAGACAAGATTTTGTTGTCAAAATGTTGGGACACGTTAGAATTTATGCTCTTGGGATTTTTGAAAAATTTATTGTAAGTGAAAATTTTATCAGAATCTATTTCATATGTATCAAGATATAAATATTTTTAAACAATATTGATAGAACGAACAACTTCGATCAATTGAAGAAACCAAAGTAACTTCCAAAAAACGTAAAGGAATAGTATTATTTATTCGTATATTTCCAGTAAGTAAAATATATATTTTTGGTAAAGAAAAACGTAATCATAATTTTGCAATAGGATATAATGAGATTAATTATGTTCATTAATTAATTAATTGTTAGCGTTTTGTTGAAAGAATTGAACACTCAATGACAGGTTCCGAAAATTTAGAGATACGACAAATTATTAATAGAGCATATGAAGAGATTGTGAAAACAATGTTTGATTGTCTTGAAGCAATTGCTAAAGATACAGAATCTATAGATAAAGAACAATTGAATGCTCATATAGTAACTTTAGGTAATGAACTTGATTTTTAATTGGGTGAAAAATATTATCATTAATGAAAATATTAATAATTAAATTTAAAAAAAAAAATTTTTTTTTTAGAAAATATGCACCACTTTTATACTGAAATACGTACTCGTAAGATTCATGTGCTTGATCCTTTCATGAGATATGCTAGAAACTCTTATGATAAACATCTTGAAGCTTATGCTAAAGCTGTTATCAGGAGACCGTTTGGAAAATTAATGGTAATTTAAAATCAACAAATATAAGATTATTATCATTATAATTATTATAATCGTAGCTATTTATATAACTGTATAATTATAATTATATATATATATATATAGGAATTTTTTGATGGTATAGATAGTTTATTAAGAACAACCGCAGCACCTGAGGAAGTAGGATTTAGATTACAATATAGTAAAGCCGCATTGAAAAAAGTAATATCACAATTACCTGGAAAAGAGGTAATTATTAATTTGTTATTTAAAGAGATTATTGTTAATAATTGTAATCATAATAATATATTTATTAATTCATTTATTTACTTTTTAGATCAGGAAAAGCCTTGAATCATTGTATAAGCGCGTTGATAAACATTTTACAGAATATGATGAATTATTACAAGTTGTATGGCGTAGTATAGAAGAAGAAGTAATCCGTACTTATGAAAGATTTACATTAACCATCAATAAATGTTACCCTGATTCAAACATCACTTTGGAATTTTCAATGGATGATTTATTAACTTATTTTTCTGATATAGCAAAAAATCATTAACTAATCAATTAATCTTTAATTTAATTTAATTTAATGTAATTTAATCGCTTTATATATACAGTATATTGTTTTTTGTACGATTATTTAATAATTAGATTTTTTTTCTTGTAAAAAAAAATATTTTTAAAATAGAAATGTTTATCATTATTATTATTTGATAAAATTCAACTAGACGCGCATTTTGGATACATTGATCTTTTGTTAGAATATCCAGAGAAATCGTTGTTCCAAATATCATCCATCATATCCATCATACATACATATATACAAACTGGTGAATGAAATGTGACTGCGAAGGAAATAAAAAGATCTGTCAAGTAACTACAATTGAGCAATTAATTATATATTGTCATTATTTGAGATGTCTGCTAGTACTTGTTGATCGATCCACCATCCATTCCATAACTTTGGTCTTGTTCCTGATTTAAAGAGAGATTGAATCATTTTAAAATAGCCAAATCACAACCTACCTTTAAGAAATGTATTCTTCATAAATTTTATCACTAGTTTAAAAATTCTCCAACAATAATAATGTTATTGATAATTTGTTTTATCCGACTATTAATTCCAATATGTAAAATTAGAGACATTGTTGGTGCTTTCATTGATAAATATATGATAATTGGAATTGACTGAATGTATTATTTTTCGAAAAACCCATTTTTGATTCATTAGTATTAGTATTAAGTGCATTGATGAATGAATGTTATCTGGGTGTTACGAAAGCAATCAATCAAAACAATCAATTTTAAAATTAGAAATATGAACATGAACGCTGTTTTTACAAACTACGTTTCATCTCATAATGTTGCCAAGTGATTTTGTAGACTCATTTTGTGCATTTACAATTCACATTTGTGAAAATTATAAAAGAAATTTGCAACTTTCATAGATTTCAATTTTACACACAACAAGGAACAACCACTCCTCATTATATCGTTTTCTTGAAACCCTTTATAAATTGGAAAATTTTTCATGTCAAATGGATTTACAAGTTTCTCACCAGATACAATATTAATTGTTTTTTGGTTCTACACCAAGTTCGATTGTAAATGAATTAACCATACATGCACCAACTAGCAATCACTGTCAATGGAATATACAGTGAAATAAACGTATTAGCATCCAAACGTTTTGCCTTGCTTTCTCAACTCCATCCATATCTTTATCAATGTATTTAATTCCTATTCAGACCAACGCTGTGACCCTAAACAGTTTCGGGAGAGAACCTACTCTAAGCCTAAACCAACCCTTTAAAATCAAGCCTGGGCCATCCCGGTGGTTTGGTTTAAGGTTTCTCCCAAGAGTTTTGGGTCGCTGCGTTGGTTCAGACATCTTTGTTGTGCAACCGAATAGATAAATAGGTGACCGCAAACAACCAAAGATGAAATAGTAGGTGTTTGAGTAGCTGAATATAAAACATCAATTATAATCCAAATTGATACTTGCGGGCAATTGAATGCTCAAAGGCCTTTTTTTTTTTTGGATAAGTTCCCATTATTATTATTATTATTATTATTGAATTTAAGGGTAGGGGGAATCACGTGATAAATCAATAGTAAATCATGGATCAAAAAATTTTTGTTGGTTTCAATGTTGATCATCACAAAATGTCCAATAAGTTTTCCTATTACTATGATAATAATATATTTTAAGTATTTTAAATGTGAAATGAATATTTGTTACTAAGGGATGAGTATATGTTAATATGGGATGAGTTCTTTTTAATATGGGATGAGTTATGGGATGAGTTTCTCTAATTAAGGATGAGTTTTGTTTTTTGAAGAATTTTAAAAGAAGATTTTATTCAAAAACACTTTCAATAACTACTATACAGCAAAATACACATAGAATAACACATGAGTCATTTGAATGCATCTCGTGTGGCCTCACCTTTAAGACAATTATTGATTTTGGAAAAGTCAAATTTTGATCCGGATTTTGTATTAAATTATCACGTGATTCCCCCTACCCTTAATTACGTGATTCTTTTCTAAAGTAGAAACATCAGTATCTACGTTGTTTAAATTGCAAAGATCATAAGAAATAAAAATTGCATTCAATTTTTTTAAATAATCTACTATATATATACGAGTATTTCAAATCTTTTTCTTTTTTTCAGAAATCAAATTATCTGACGCAAGACACGGTTTTTTCGAATGCACAACAATCAATTCTATTAATTTTTCTTTATACAATCTACAATCAGCTAATGATTTATCTTTCATGATCTTAATATAGTTTTCATACCTTTTGGTTTCCCTTGAGTATTATATTTTCATAATTATCGAGAATAAAAATAATAGAAGGAAATTCTTTGACTATAATTAATTAATTAAGCTATGATTATGGTTCGGCCAACCTTTAATGTATATCAGATCAATAAAGACAACCTCCCTTTTCACAGCATTTTTCATCTAGCAATCACGTATCGATAAAAAACATGTTTCCATCTGCCCAAAAATGTTTGAATGACATAAATATCAATACAGAAGTTGGTTCAAAAAATCAAACCTGTTCATTCTATACATTGTTGAAAAAGTGAATATGTAAAATAACCCAATTGAATTTTTGTTTTATGAGGTTCGCTCACCTCCTCTCCATGTCTCAAAAAGCATACTGTCATAACTTTTTTCTAATAGTGGAAAATTGAGAAAACACAGAGATTTGACAGCTTCACTAAAAGATCGTTCTGGATGAAGGTTTCATATGACATAATAAAAAAATGGATTCATTATTGCATGCAAAAGATATCCGGTTTTTCGGGCAATTTCAAAAGGTAAATACTGGCACATTCATGTCGGCAAAAATATATACTAATACATGATGGAATAATATTCCTAAATTTAAATATAATTAACTTGATTAGAGTTGATTTTGGTAATGAAAGCTGCGACTTCGAAAATCGCATCTCCGACATGACGAAGGTCCTTGCAATGCTATTTCTATTATCTTATTCCCATTCAGATGGTCGTTAGTCTACGGATTAATCAAAAAACTATTAGCGGAATCGCAAATTGAGTTTAAATTATGACAATACGGCATTATCAATTGTTGAAAAAGTAGAGATGATTGGATTTCCAGTATATTTCGGTAGTGCAGGTAGATGTGTAATGTGTGATTGCTTGGCATGGTGTTGCCACTTCATGCAAGTGGGTCCATTTGTCTTTGGCCACCATCAAGTCATAGAATATCTGAGAAGGCCCTACACACTTATTTCTTTTTATAAAAGGGGACAAATTTGAAGGCAAGGTTGTGATTTTTGATAGATGTTGCATTTTTGGTGGCCAGTATCTGGTTCTAATTTTGAAAATTTCTTCTTTTCTCAAGCATCAATGTGGCTAGTACCAATACAAGAAGAACCTAGCTATCTATTGAGGGTAGTATTTTTTAATATACTCATAGTGCCCCTTTCCATTGGGGTAAACATCAAAGATTCCATGTCAGGGTTTCCAAATAAGATCAGAAGTTTGACATTGTTTGATTCAACAAAACTCACAATCAATATACTGTAGTTTGTGTTAGTTGGCTTTTTATTAGATAATTTAGGTATAATTTTTATTTTATTTAAATTATTCAGATACATGTATTAAATTTTAAGATTTTTAATATTAATAAATTATTTATATATTATATATATTATATGATATATTGATAATACATCACTTCAATTTGTTAATGCTATAAAAAAATGAATCCATTAATTTGAAAAGGTAAGATACAAACAATACTGCAGTCATGTATGTATGATAACAATGATTATTAAAAATTACATTTATTTTTTTGTCAAAAATTATTATTTTTTATTTAGTGTG